AACAAATAAAAAACAAAGAGACCAGCTGAAGAGGACTCTAAAAAGTATTTACAAAACACGTTGGACTTTTAAGAAGTTGAAAGTATGTAAGAACTATAATATCCCTCAAGCCAAAGGCGGGGTGTAATTTTCCAAGAGTGGAAATTATCTGAATAACCACGCACCAAGTATGGGCACTCAAATACTTGAGAAACACGAAAGGTTATACACTAACTCTTACTCGCCCTCTAACAACAAAGAAAACACGGGTAAAATAACCAAAAACTTACAGAGGCAAGGAAAGTCTACGACTCAACGGGGAAAAGGGAAATACCAAAGACCCGATTGGTGGTAAACCAAAAAAAACTCCATTGAGGAAATATGTTAATACTTCTCCTAGGTACAATTGTTGAGGTAACTCAAACGTGAACACATAAAAACTCTGGTTATTTAGGGCACTCATGATTGGCTTATACTTCAATGTATGTTTGAATTTTCTTTTTATAGCATAATTCTCTATACAATGGAAATGCTACACGTTTTGGTAGATGCAATATAATGATGCATGTTTAATGATGCACGCTTAGTGTTTCACTGGGAAAACACAATAATAATCGATTGTTGGGGAAGACAAGGAACTTATGAACAATTATCCTTGCATATATAATCTTCTAATGAGAATAATCACACTTAACCTCAATGGGAGATTGCAAATCTAAAACATCAACTTCCAAGAATCAAAATCATCGGGGAAGTAAGATCTTGGGAGGAATACTGCAAAAATAAATTGCAGTCCATAGAAAATCTTGAACTCTGATCAAACTCTTAACTTCCTGGGGAACAGATCCCTCGTCCCCTATCAGGATGAGGAGAAAATTCAATGGGAATGGAAACTTTTTCTTGTAGAATTCCTTGATGAAGATAAATTCAATTGGGGATAATGAGAATTCTTGAGTCAAAAGAAAACCCATATTAGACCACACTGGGGATTTTTACTGTTGGGGGTAAAGATTGTCACTTAGGAAAGAGGAAAGAATCTTTGAACCAGAAACATGAGGTTCAAAACTCCATTGGAGAATATATCAACAATCTTCTATCACTGAGGATAAAAGAGTTCATACTGATACTCCTATGTACACACCACACTAGGGAAACATGATTTTGTACGATTTTCATCACCACCAAGCTTTACTTGGGAAAATAAAAAAACTTTCTCTGCTAGGGATAAAAATCCTCGGACCTCAGCTTCGACTGGGAAGAAAGCTACACCTTCCACTGGGGAATAGAAAAGCTCTTGATAGCAATATCACTGGTATAAGCTACATTTATGGAAGCAATCTTTGCAGGATTCGGTTCCAACAAATGATTTGTACTGGGGAGAAACGATTGCTCCAATGAGAATAACATTTGTTTTCATGGTGATACAAACCAGAATCTCCCCTAGGTAAATAAAAATATCTTCAAGAAAACTCAACAGGCGCAGACTGCATTGGGGAGGAAAAGGAGAACTTCATAGGGAAGACGAGTGCAAACTCACTGGAGATTATGGACGACTCCCTGGGGATATATCAAGAATCCTACTAAAATTCATTTCTTTAGATATAAGTCCTCAGAAAGTGACAAAACTCACTGGGGACTATAGTATTCTTATTCAACGAGGGTACGCCTTCGATGGGTGATATTGGATTCTGTTTTGAGAAAACAACCTTTCCATCAAGGATCTCAGGATAATCACAATCATACCTTCCTTTGTTCACTTGTCGGTACGCTCCTTGTCATAAAAGACCAACAATACTTGCAAAAAGGGAAATTACAGTGACCTGCCCCAAGTATGAAATGGAAACCTTAGCCATCATCCATGAAACCCAAAAATTCAATCAATTTCAGATATTTATATCATGTGTTGTAAAGTTTTAATGTTTTTAAATGCAAAGTTTATCAAAAATGCTGGACATGTTTTGCAAACAAAACAGTAAAAATAAAAACAAAGGGGCATATTTTGAATAAAAAGAATTTTATTAATTAATTGACCTATAAATAGGCATTAGCATCAAGAGGCAATTCCTAAAAATAGGTGATTGCATACAAAACATACAAAGGAGAGTAAAGAGATGGAAATATGAAGACGGATTTATCGGGTTCCGACTCTGCTATGACTCTTATAACTTCAAACCTCATTGCTTTCTGAAAAAGTTAATTGGACCGATTCCTTATCCTTCCAAGCTAACCAACAACAATATAGAATGATAGCATAAATGCAACGCAAACCGTAGTCATTCTTTTTAAATCCCTAACTTTTGCCTGGATCGCCCTTTTCAGGTTTTTGATCCACCAGGATACCCATTTTTCCAAAGTCGCCTTTTCAGGTTTTCGGCTTAGCGGGTGTACAAAATTTCTATTTCATTTTTTATTCATATATCCCTAATTTTTGCCCGAACCTTTTATTCATTTTTTGGTTCATCTGGATGCCCTTTTTTTCCTGAGTCGTCGACTCAGCGGGTCTGTTTATGCGAAGTATTTTTTAACAACGTCTGTGTTGACAGGGTGAGGGAAATCCTCTCCATCCATAGTTGTGAGCATTATAAATCCTCCTGAGAAGACTTTCTTTACAACATATGTTATTTCATAATTAGGAGCCCATTTTCCCCTAGCATCTATATTGTTGGGAGGCAAGATCATCTTCAGTACGAGGTCACCAACTTGAAAATTCTGAGGATGCACCTTCTTGTTGAAAGATTTCTTCATCCTTCTCTAGTATAACTGCCTATGACAAATAGCTATCAATCTCTTCTCGTCAATGAGATTCAACTGATCAAGTATATTCTGAATCCATTTAGCTTCATCGATTTGTACATCTGTCATGATCCTTAAAGAAGGAATATCTGCTTCCACAAGCAGGACTGCTTCCATGTCGTATACTAGAGAGAATGGGGTTTCCCCAGTTAAAGTATGCACCAAAGTGCGATAACCATGCAAAGCGAATGACAGCATCTCATGTCAATCCTTATAGGTGACAACAATTTTCTTTACAATCTTCTTAATATTCTTGTTTGTTGCCTCAACAACACCATTCATCTTTGGACGATATGAAGAAGAATTGTGATGCTTTATCATGAAGCTTTCGCACAGCTCTTTCATCATCTTATTTTTGAGATTCGACCCATTGTTAGTAATGACCTTTTCGAGAATCCCATAACGACAAATGATATTCTGCTTGATGAAACGAGTAACCACTTGCTTTGTGACGTTGGCATAAGACGCTGCTTTGACCCACTTGGTGAAGTAATCAATAGCCACCAGATTAAAGTGATGTCTATTTGAAGCAGTCAGTTCAATCCGGGCAATCATATCGATGCCCCACATTGCAAAGGGCCAAGGAGAAGTTAAAATATTCCGTGGATTGGGCGGCACATGCATTTTTTCGGCATGAATCTGACATTTGTAACAGATTCTGGAAAGATTGTATCAATCATTTTTCATAATAACCTGCTCTCAAGATTTTCTTGGCCATGGTATGTCCATTGGAATGCGTCCCAAGGGAACCTTCATGGATTACTTCTATGATATTGTTTGCTTCGTGTCTATCCATGCATCTGAGCAAAATAGAGTCAAATTTTCTCTTGTACAGAACACCTCCGTTGAGGAAAAATTTGGTTGCATACTTCCGCAGATTCTTCTTATCAGTGACAGAAGCATCATCTGGATATTCTTTCATTTCAAGATACCTTTTGATATCATAAAACCACGGTTTCTCATCAGCCTCTTCTTCTATTTCGTAACAAAATACTGGCTCATCCAACCTCAAAATGGTGATATAGGGGGCTTCATTTGCCCATCTGACTTTAAACATGGATGGCATAATAGCCAAAGCATCTGCCAAGTTATTCTCTTCTCTTGGGATATGATTGAAAGTAATCTCGTCAAAATACGAGATCAACTTCATAACACGTATCATACCCCAAATTTGCCCGCCCTTTATGTCTACAGTCAAAAATATTTTCAACATTGGTTTTATAATATTCTTTGATTTGTATAAATATTCGCTTTCAAACCTATTTAAAAATAGAACAATTTATTTCAGATCATTTGTATTTTTGAATAAATAAATACTTGCTTGTCTTCATGTACGTTCAATTGGCTTTTTATTGGCTTTTAACATTTTCTTTTTCTATTTTTTTGTTACTAATTTTCTTTCCTTTTTTGGAGATCAGGATTTGAGCTTTTCATTTATTTTGGATAACTTAGTCTTCAAGTATTTTTAACCTAATTTTAAGTCTATAAGTAAGATTCTTATTTGTCCTAAATTTTCATAAACAATTACCTACAGATTTCACACACTATCAACAATTACCAACAATCAACAATTTTTACAATTCATACACTATGATTCTCAAACTTATTTTTCTCACTTTTTTCAAAAACTTTTTCAAAATCTTTTCTTTCCAAAATTGCTTGTTGTTTTTTATTTTGGTCAATGATTAATCTATGATGTCACCCTTTTAATTTCAATTCATTTTAACCTTATTTTAATTTGTTTAAACCATATGATGATTACTTATGATTGTTTTTTATTTCTTTAAAATTATTTTGTTCAAAAATTTCCCACCTATATTTTTCAATCTAACATCGTTCTCGTTTTTGTCTTGAACAACCCTAATGATTTCTACATACACGATTCACACTTTCATCAAATCACACACTTATTTTTCTAAACATTGTTTCTCGATATCACAAGGCCACACACTAACTTCCTACATGCAGATAGTAACAACATACTAACACCGTTTTTTCGTTTCTATTCAAACCTTTATATCTCATATTCTTAGTCAAACATTCTTCTACAAAAAAAACTTATTCTCCCATACAGTATTTGGCTTTTACACGATTCATACACAATATCTACACAACTTTTACACAAAAAGTTAATACCACCCTTACAAACCTGCATATTTTTTTTATCAATCTTAGATACTCCAAACCCTTTCAAACTTAATCCAAATCCAAACTAAAATCATACATCAATGCAACAACTTGTACAGTTTTTGTGTCGTGCAAAAAAGATTGAGATAAGAATAGATTTCCGACGACGAGTTCTCAACACTGGCGCCATTCAACCTACTCCGAACACCGCCTCGCCGGAATCCATGCGACTCCATCATTGTCAGAAGCACTCATATCCACCACCAACAAAAAAGCGATGCAGATCCAGCCATCCCCGCTCATCACATTGTACACTACATCGAACTACCAACCCGGTGACAGCAACACAACCTTCCCTCTGGCAGATCCACCGCGACGCTGCAGCAGACAACGCCCATCCGCCCCCGCGATCAACGCTCTCCCCTCCGGTGAAGAAACCACACGCCCAGCTTCCACTGGAATCGTGAACTGCACACGAACAATCCACCGCCACGCTACTGCCGACACCACAGCACAACAAGCCATCATGTCGTCGAAAAGCACCACCCCCACACAATGAGTGGTAACTTCTTTTCTCTCAGTATTTTCATGTTGATTTCAATTTTTTGGTTTGATATGCATGGATTAAGGGAAGGAATTTAAGAGAATAAAGGAGAAGTGTTTTTTTAAGGAAAGAGAGAGACTTTTGTTTGTACGATGGAACAAGAAAGAGGATTGAGATTTCCTCACGGTGTAGCATCTGTTTCTTTATGATGAGTGATTTGTTAATTTTATATAATTAAATCATTGCCAAGTGTCGGTCTATAATTGGATAAGAGGTACAAAGATATCAAAAGGCAGTCACTTGCAGATAAGGGCTCGCCCCATGTGCTGCCTGTACATGTTTTTCTCCTTTAATTTTTTTTCCGTTTATTATTTTCCTATTTATTTATCCATTTAGTAATAACTAGGGTTCTAGAAACTGAAATAGGTCTTGAACCTTGGCCCAATTCCTTCTTACGCACCCTTTTATTTATATATATATACCTACATCCTGATTTTAATTTATTCATGTTGTTAACTAATACATTAGTCCATTCATTTAAATTCTTCCCTTTTATTTATCTAATTTAATAAATTAATCATTTTATTTTTAGTTAACTTAGTTAGTTAGATCGATTATGTTATCTAATTTTGTTTATGACCAATAATATACAAAAATAAAAATAATTATTATACTTATACATGTTTAAATATTTTCTCAAATAAAATTAATTCAAATATTTTATGAATAATGAGATGTCCATCTTTGAGTAATTAAATCGGTCGACACATCGTCTATCGATTTATTATTCAAAATCAAACAACTAAAATCCATGCAACTTACCAAATTCTCCATCAGTGAATGACACGTGGTCAATATCTGGCCACATGATGAGGAGACTATATCAGACTACCCCCGCTATACGTCTTAATATAGATAACCAATCAAATCATTTTCTACTAACATAATTAAAATCAAGATGTTTTCGAAAAAGGATTAAGGAGAATTATTTTCAAAATTAACTACGAATTGCGTTTACGATCACTCTTTTTTCAAACCCAGACAAGGTTCAAGAATAATTTGAAAGAAATTCTACGTAATCCTATAAAAAAACACCAATCAACTACGAACTACGGATTGGGACTCTGATTCCTCATAAGAGGATGCGTAGGCATACGACTTAAAAATCGTGGCGAGTTCCCCTAATAAAAACTAAAACCATATTTCTTAAAGATTACGCTTTAAACCCTAGTATCCTTGTGAACAAGGTAGATGAGGGGTGCCTAACACCTTTCCTTGTCTAAAAATGAATCCAACAACTTAGAATCTCTGACCACACACTATGCCAGAAATAACCTACGAAAGCGCTTTTTTTGGGCTTTAAAAGCGCTTAAAAGCGCTCTCGTAGGTGGCGCTGCTAAAGGTTTTAGCAACGCTTTTTGTTCAGAAAAAAGCGCTCTCGTAGGCCTACCTATGAAAGCGCTTTTTTCTTAAAAGCGCTTTCATAGGTAGGCCTACGAGAGCGCTTTTTTTCTGAAAAAACGCTTTCATAGGTGTATTCAAAATGCGTATAAAGTAGGCCTATAAGAGCGCTTTTTGTTCAGCTAAAAGCGCTCTCGTAGGCCTACCTATGAAAGCGCTTTTTTCTTAAAAGCGCTTTCATAGGTAGGCCTACGAGAGTGTTTTTTTTTGAAAAAGCGCTCTCATAGGTGTATTCAGAATGCGTATAAAGTAGGCCTATAAGAGCGCTTTTTGTTCAGCTAAAAGCGCTCTCGTAGGCCTACCTATGAAAGCGCTTTTAAGAAAAAAGCGCTTTCATAGGTTTTCTACTGAAAAATCTAAAATTTAAAAAATTTCTAAACCTGTATTTTTTTGCAGCAAACCTGTAATTCTTAAACCGGTATTTTACAATCTAATCTAGAAATACCAATATATATTAGTTTTAATCCAAATACCAAATGTAATTCAAATACCAAATATTATATATATATATATATACAAATACCATTATAATCAATTCATATCCAAAATATATATACACCATGGTAATTCAATATTAATATGTTTTTAAACGTAACAAAATACACCCTAAGAAATCAGCTATATAACACTAAGTAAATCAATCCTAATCTACATATATATCCAAGGTCCTGATCCTGCAATATGAACATAATAACACGGTCAGTGTTGTATACACAAAACAATATATTCATAATTAACCAATTTTCACACAACAATGTATTTGTACCTTATTATAAGATTCTTAGCTCAATAAAATATTGGCACAACTCCTCTTTGAGTTCTTCCAATTGACGTGGCGAGTAATATGGACAATTGTATTGATCAAAATACTACATTACAAAACAAAATATATGCATGATTTAGTTTAATGTAATAAATTATATGCAAAATCCGATAAGTAATAAAACAAAGTATAAATCCATACCGTGATTGGAATCTCGATTTCATTCATTTGAATGATTTCTTTGATAAACATCAAAATGAAGTATCCGCAATCTATGCCGTTTTGTTGTTGAGGGCACTACATAGAAAAACAAATAAGATTATACACACCTATTGATTTATCAAGTAGCATAAATATTATAAGCAAAATTGTTGAAATTTATATACCTGTACTTTGATCCAATTAATGTTGTTTGATCTAGACCGTGGTACTCGTGCTCCCCTTTGACATCGGAATACTTGTATTGAACTGATGACAAAATTAAAATATTTATTTAGAACAATGACATTGAAATAATTAAATATATAAACACAAACGAATATTTAGAATAATGTCACTTACGTATCAATCACTAGCTTCATTTCCGGATAATTTGTCCAATCACCGTCAACCGAATTCAGGTAATAGACCACTTCTTTTATGGGATTGATTGCAAGCAACAACCAGTGACATCTATAAATTAAAGCAACAATTTAGAAGCGAATTTTAATGTAAAAAATACAAATATTAAAAGGAGCTTAGAATGAAAATCTAACCCTGTATTATAAGGCAAAAGATACAAGCCCTCTGTACTGGCAGTTGTCCTGAATCTTTCGACCAAGTGTTCTCTTACTGAATCAGGTTCCCTAGAAATTATTGCTCCGCTAACACGGGAGGAAGACACGAAACGGAATCTATTTGACAATTGATTCCCGCGCATCAATTTGTCAAATAACATCCTTAAATAAAAACATAATTAATATTAGACTATTTCAATTAAATGTTTAAAAAAAATGTTCAACCAATTAAATAATATATTGATCGGGTTACCGGATGTACGAGTGCATCACACTGATGCCTAACTCTCGATGATGAAAGATTTGTTCCATGTCCTCTAATCCAATTGTTTCGGTACATGGAAAACCAAAGACAATTTCATCCACATCGATTTGACGAATTCCATCATTCATCAAATCTGATGTGCCAACTAGTGTCTCCAGACACTGTCGATACCTAGGCACAAATTTACGGACAGGAACCTTCTTCTTAGGTGGAACCCTACTACCTTTCTGGCTCACCTGCTGTGACTGATCTTGAGAAGGTACCTTAAAAATCATATAGAATTATGTAAGATACAAAGTTATGCAGTTTTTTATTCCGATCATAAATGAAACACTATAAAAGTACCTGTCTTTGCGATGCAATAGACTCGCCGCGCTGCAAAATCCCTTTATCCTTAGATGCGGGTTTTGCAGGAGTCTAAAATTACCATGTATAAAATTCAGGTCAGAACTGTCAGTTGAATACTTAAAGATTCATAATGGTTTTCAACATACCTGATCATCTATGAAGATGAGGTCTGATGGCCATGCCACAAAAGATCCTACTGCATCTCGCAGCAATGTGGTCTCCGCAACAATGCCAGGTACCGGTAGCAATGCATTCATATCTAAAACAACATCAACCGATACCTTCATGTGACCATCCGGGAGCGGTCTATGGTGAATTAAATCTCCCGAGGTGTTGTGCACTTTTCCCTTGCCAACTACCCGATAAGTCGGAGAAGCTAGATACAGCTGACAACATGAAATGCCCTAAACCAATAATAACCGTTAGACTTCCTTTAATGTTGACAATAATAACCGTTATAATTATACTTTCTCTAAATATAATGGATTATCATCTTAATTACCTCGGGAAAATTTTGTTGACGGTTGATACTAGCCTTGTCACTAGTTTCTTTCAACTGTGAACTGCTCCTTTCGGCCATATACCTCTCTTTGTCCCTCTGCAGTTCACGGACTTGTGCTTGTAAATCCTGCAATGTTTGCATCACTTCCGCATTGCTAGGATTTCTTTTTCTTGGATTGTTATACAGAGAGGTAGGAGTCACACTATGGCCTTTACCCCTCACTCGTCCCGGATACTCAGCAACACATAGTGCTCGACTGAGTACGCTCCTGATATTCGAGTCATCACCCGAGGATACCGATTGCGATATAGTCTCCTGTAATTCATTTAAATATCGATAATTAAAGACACAACGTTAATTATATATATTAATTAAAGACATAATGGTATACTTACACACTCATCATAAATATGTTGCAGATCGGGGTTAACAACTTTATCTCTGCCAACACGAGCTTCCTTCCACAGCACATGTGCAGGTAGTGATGTTTCGTCACTCTGCGTCTCCTCCAACTACGCATTGTTACAAATAATAAAATCATCAATACACATTGTTACAAATTAATAATACACATTGAGATAATTAATAAGATCGTAGAATTGAGATTTACTTACAATTTTTTCCTGTAAGCGTGCATATCCCAAACGACCTTTTTTATATGGATATGCGGGTTTTGACGCTCTATCCCGATTTACAGCACTCACTTTCTTGAAATTATCGTCTTTTCTTTGGCCCACAAAAGCAACCCATTCTTCGGGTGTAATGAAGCTCTCATATTTTTTTGGTCGTTCAGGTTCCTCTTCAACAA